CTTCGCTAACGGCGGCGGTAGGTGTGCTGTCCTCCACCACCGCTTGTGGCAACTCCGTCCCGGCATCCGCGGGATCCTGTTTCTCACCGGACACGACAGGGAAAGGTTCCGGAGAGTCGGCTCCTTCAGCATCGGCGGGANATGTCCTCCCTTACATCCACGGTGTCTTCCTCCACTGGCCGAGAGGCATCCTCTGCCTCGTCGGACACGGGTGGGAGCGGTACTGCAGCGTCCCCCGCTTCGCTAACGGCGGCGGTAGGTGTGCTGTCCTCCACCACCGCTTGTGGCAACTCCGTCCCGGCATCCGCGGGATCCTGTTTCTCACCGGACACGACAGGGAAAGGTTCCGGAGAGTCGGCTCCTTCAGCATCGGCGGGAGGTACGCTGTCGTCGGCTGCACCCACCGTGACTTCCTCCAATGGCCGAGAGGCATCCTCTGCTACGTCGACCATGAACGAGAGCCGTACTTCAGCGTCCCCCGCTTCGCTCAAGGCGGCGCTAGGTGTGCTGCCCTCCACCGCTGCTTGTCGCACCCCCGTCCCGGCATCGGCGGGATCCTGCTTCTCGTCGGGCAAGACATGGGAAGGTACCGGAGAGTCGGCTCCTTCAGCATCGACGGGATGTGCGCTGTCGTCGACTACACCCGCTGTGTCTCGATCGGCAAGTATGTGGGCATCTCTGGTCTCGTCGGAAACGGTAGGGGATAACACCGCTGCTTCGAGACCGGCGGGAGGTGCGCTGTCCTCCATATCATCCATAGTGTCTTGCTCCAATGGCCGAGAGGCATCCTCTGCTTCATCTGTCACGGAATGGGGCGGTACTGCAGCGTCCCCCACTTCGCTCACGGCGGCGCTAGGTGTGCTGCCCGCCACCACCGCTTGTGGCACCCCAGTCCCGGCATCGCCGGTATCCTGTTTCTCATTGAGCACGACAGGGGAAGGTGCCGGAGAGTCGGCTCCTTCAGCATCGGCGGGAGCTGCGCTGTCGTCGACTACACCCGCTGTGTCTCGCTCGGCAAGTATGTGGGCATCTTTGGTCTCGTCGGACACGGCAGGGGATGATACTACTCCTTCGAGACCGGCGGGAGGTGCGATGTCCTCCCTTACATCCACCGTGTCTTGCTCCAATGGCCGAGAGGCATCATCTGGCTGGTCGGACGCGGAGGGAAGCGGTACTGTAGCGTCCCCCGCTTCGCTCAAGGCGGCGGTAGGTGTGCTGTCCTCCACCACCGCTTGTGGCACCCCAGTCCCGGCATCGGCAGGATCCTGTTTCTCA